GGCATCACATCAAAGTTCTTCAGACCAATAATGGTGAAGAGTTTGTATCAAAGGAGTTTGAAAATTTTTGCAAGGTCGAAAGAATTACTAGGCATTACACAAATACCTATAATCCTCAATAAAATGGTGTGGCCGAGAGGATGAATCGCACTTTGATGGAGTGTGTGAGGTGCATGTTAAGCAATGCTACCTAGAACAAGAGTTATGAGCGGAAGCCGTATTAATGACTTGTTACCTTATCAATCAATCACCTTCGGTAGCATTGGGAAGTAAAAGTCTTAATGAGATATGGTATGGAACTCTGATTTGAAAATTTTTGGATGCATACGCAATTTTTGGTTGTGAGGCATATGCACTTATTCCAAGTTGCCAAAGGAATAAATTGGATCCAAGGTCAAACTAGTACATCTTTGTGGGTTATAGCCAGGGTGTGAAAGGGTACCGGTTATGAGATCCATGTACTCGAAAAATAATTACTAGTCGTGATGTGCATTTTGATGAATCCAAGGTATTGGCAAAAGCGATGATGATAAAGGACAATGGTCAAGAAGTGCAACAAGAGAGCTAAGAATTTCAAGACAACCCCGAAACACTTCCACCAAGTACAATTATGCCCTATGAGAATATAACCATTGATCATAGTGAAGAACATGGTGAAGAATTAAGAAGTCAAGATGAAGAACCACATGGCCATCATGATGAAGTTGTGCCTTTGACATATTGGCGCTCTACTAGAGAAACTCGTGCACCCGGATGACACAAAGATTATGTGAATCCTAATACTTTGCATGCTTTGATAGCTGAAAATGAAGAGCCAATATCATTCCGTGAAGCCATTGATAGCAATGACACCGGGCATTGGAAAAAGGTTATGGAAGAGGAGATATTGGTCATTTAAAGAAACAAAACTTGGGATTTGGTAGAGCTACCAAAAGGTAGAAAGACCGTTGGTTGTAAATAGATTTTTAAGATAAATAAGGGGCTTGATGGCAAGCTTGAAAGATATAAGGCAATATTGATAGGAAAAGGTTTTTTTACAAAAGGAAGGGATTAACTTTGATGAACTTTTTGCACCGATAGTCACGTTGGTCTCAATTCGCTTGGTACTTGGGTTAGTTGCTATGTATGATTTAGAGCTTGAGCAAATGTATGTGAAGACAACTTTTTTGCATGGAGAACTTGAAGAGGAAATGTACATACAACAACCGGAAGGCTTCATAGAGAAAGGCAAAGAAGGACTTGTCTGCAAATTAAAGTTCTTGTATGGGCTTAAGTAAACATCAAGACAATGGTATAGAACATTTGATATGTTTATGTTGAGCCTTGTGTACACAAGAAGTAAGTATGACCATTGCATCTATTTAAAGTTATTTGATAATGGTACATACTTGATTTTAATCTTATATGTGGATGACATGCTTTTGATGTGCAAAGATAAGTAACAAATTGATGAGCTCAAGACTTCTTTGAGCAAAAGATTTGAGATGAAAGATCTTGGGCCGGCAAAGAAAATCCTTGGGATTGAAATTGAAAAGGATTGACAAAATGAAATTTTATCATTATCTCAAAAGGATTACATAGAAAAGCGTGCTTGAAAAATTTGGCATGAAAGATGCAAAACCGGTGAAGACACCCCTAGCCCCTCAACTTAAATTGTTTTCAATGCAAAGTACGAAGATGGAAGAAGAAAGAAGAAGCATGTCTAAAGTTCTTTATGCAAATGCGATTGGAAGTTTAATGTTTGCCATGGTATGTACACGACCGGATATCATGCATGCGGTTGGAGACCCCGGAAAAGTTTATTGGGAAGTAACAATATGGGTGCTTAGGTACTTGAGAGGTACAACTAGTTATGCAATCATATTTGGCAAGGGCTCAATCCCAATACAAGGTTTTGTGGATGCAAAATTTGCCTGTGATCTTGATAGAGGTAGGTTGACTACCACATTTGTTTTTCGGTTTGCAAATAGACCAGTAAGTTGGATGTCAAGGCTTCAATATACGGTAGTATTGTCAACTATCAAAGTCGAGTACATGACCGCAACGGAGGCATTGATGAGTGAGATGGGCATTATATGCTAACCCATAGAACTATTTGGCGACAATACGAGTGCTATCCATCACCACAGGAAGTCAATGCACATATTGGTTCAATATCACTATATCCGACAGATTATTGAAGATGGAAGAGTTTGATTGGTCAAGATCAAGGACAAGGACAATATTGCAGATATGCTTACAAAGACCATTCAAGTAGAGAAGTAAGAATGGACCCTAACTTCTCTAGGTTTCAAGAAAGAAAGGAAGTGATAGATTGGCAAGGCAAGGGTGTGATTTTGCATCAAGGTGAAAATTGTTGGGAGGTGGTGCTAAATCACCACCCCATGTGGTATTTCTCACTATGATGAGGGGGTATTTTATTCACTAAAAAAAAGCATTTTTAGTGGAGGCTCATAAAAGGTTTTTCTAGAGAGAGAAACGTGGTGAAAAAGAGGGTGAACTCTTTTGTAAAGAAAAGGGAGCTTGTAGAGAAGATGGGCGTTGGCAATTAAGGGTTTTTCAACAAAACCCTAACACCACCATTTGGAGCTCATCTTGGGCCATTTTGTCAGTATTGCCTCGCGGCATCGATGGATCGAAAAAAGGAGTCAATTGTAGGTGGTTTTGTGGTAGGAAGTTCTTTGTTTGAGCATTCATTGAGATTGTATGAGGTAACTCTACATAACCCTAATCTTGTAAGTTTTCCTCTTGATAGTGAATACACATTTTGGACCACGTATATATGCGTGTCCCGATCTACTTTCATTTGTGTTGTGGTTTGATGATCTTCCCTATTGCTTGTTTTATTGTTTTTATATTTTTCCCAATTATATTGCACTTGTTATTGCATATTGGGCATGTTATTTGAGTGTTAAAATCATTGTGGTGTAGTGCTCACCACATCTAATGGGTTTTGAGATATCCTAATTTGCTCAAATGGGGTGATTGGATTATCTCGATTTACAACACTCGCAACTATGAAGATCCGACACTAAGTTCTATTATTGAGACGAATCCAGTCCCACAACCAAGTCAAGGTGTGGATCCAGAATGTAATGATAAAATTGTAATGCAAGAACCACATTTTGAGGGACATCCACATGGTATTTGTGTTAAAGTTGATTTTCTCAAGTTTTATGGGGAACTTGAAATAGAAATTAAGATTAAACTTGAGATCTCAATATTCTACTTTACTTCAAGTTATGCATAGAGTATTTGATGAATTAGTATATTATAATTTTTTTTTTTTATTAAAAAGACATAGATACTGAGAGCATGTCTCATGTTTGAGTATTTGTTATTGTTAAAATAAAATTTAAATCATTACAATAAAATAGATATATCTGACTCAAACATTTATAGTAAAAAAAGAAAGGAATTGTACACAAAGGAATTTTTATAATGAAATTTTTTTTTCAATTTTTTTTTTAAATAATTAATTATTGGGCTTTTAGAAAAAATCATGTTTTAATATGTTATATGTGAGTTTCCATGCTTTTCGCTTAATATAAAGGAATCATATTTCAAAATTAAATAAGTTTTTCATCACTTTACATAGTTATTTCTTTACTCTTTCGCTTAATCAAAGAGCGTGGGCTGAATCTGCTGTGTATCTATACATTTAGTGTCATAATTAATTACCCTTGTAATACAAATGTGAAGTAAATCACATTCACACTTGCGTGCCCCTTTTCAAATAATGTCGAAATATATATTTTTTATATTAAAAATCTTTGTGATGGTTTGGAAATTTATTTTCATATCTAATTATAAAATTCAAAGCTTCAAAAACAGTGTAAATCAAGCAGATCTGTGAACACTTACAAATCTTGAAAAATTGATGATTCAAAAAATTTGGTACAAGATGCAGTATTTTTAAGACTTGCAATTCAATTTTTCTCATGTCCATACATCTTGAGGTCGAGATGACCGATTTGAAGATTTTTGGACATTGAAACAATCTCTTCTAGTGAAAGTTTGAAGTGCGCCTTAATTTGATTGTTTAGGGCCTCACCTTTATATAAACTTTTCCCGTTAAAGAAATCTCCACCTTTTTCATAAAAGGAAAATTGTTTCATGCAGTGGGGACACCTTTCCACTATGTGGTCTCCGAGGTATAAAGCGTCCATCTTAAAGATGGATGCAAATAGGTCTAAAAACAAGTAAAACTAATAGTCCAAATATTTTCTTAATAGAAATATTATTTTTAATTTTTAAAATTTATTTATTCATTCATATTCATGATCTCCATGTTAGATATCATATGTCCTTAAGAATTAAGTCATAAGATCCATCTAAAAAATAGATTTTTAAGAGGGGTGTAGTTTCCATAAGGTTGCAAATTTTATCATAACATGTAAGTTTGGTGTAAGGCATTCTTATGATTATCTAAGAATCTATTTTCATATCTAATTATATAATTTTATATTAAAAAATAATTAAAAGCAAGTAGATCTATAAATATATGAAAGTCTTGAAAATGGACCGTCAAGATAATATGTTGCAAAAAGCACTTCTTTTAGGACTTAAAATCTGTTTTTTATATTTACATTCATACATCTTGATTTAGATATGATCAATTAGAAGGTTTTTAATATTAAAACAACTTTTTTCGATGGATTTTTGTGGTGCTATCTTTATTTGTACATTTTAATGCTGCAATCTTATATAAACTTTTACCTTTTAAGAGGTGCGACTCATAGAAACCCTTTTCTGTCTCCATAATTTAGGACTGCTCCCGTCAGCCAACCATTTTGAAACGAAATTTGAAGGCAATTCCCTTATTTCCCCAGAAGGCCGACGAAAGCCTCTCATATATGACGCGGCTTTGTTACAGCCATACACGTGTTCCTCCGAGTATCTATTAACACATTCACAGCCAGCCGCGTGTCCTCAAACTAAACATGGGAATCCAGCCCTTCACAATTTTAGAAATAGCGACAATAAAATAACAATAAAAAAATCAAAACAAAGAAAACGAACAAGAAAAAGATAAGTCTTTCAATTTGTGAATTCAAATTTTGCAATACTAAAAAAAAGGATTATTATATTCCTTATTCTCTGTTTATACAGGAGCAGTGTATGAGCTTTGAATATTGCAGAAAAATTAGGGTAAAAAACTTCCTCTCTCTCACTCTATCTTGCATGAAATCAGGGTTAACTTTGCGTGTGATGGTAATGAAGAGAATTGGGTCTTTAATGGCTTCAATAGCTTCGGCCTCTGCTATAGCCGTCGCTGAATTTTCTGAGGAGTCTTTCTGGAGATTTTCCGGTGAGTTTCCCAACTCAATGAAGTCTTGTTCTCAACTTTCCGCCCATTCTGGCAAGTCTTTGTCTCCGGCTTCAGGTGAGGTAAGGCTCGGTTTCTTGTAGACGTTCTTAGTCTGTTCTTTTTTGAAGTTTGTACCCTTTTTTTCTCCGGATTTGTTTCTCATTTCGTTGTTGTTTGATCTTTGAGCTAGGGCTTCAGTATTTTACTTGCTCTGAAATTCGGAGCGTTTAATTAATTTTGGTGAAATTTATCGAAGTCGGCAGACATTTGTTTTTCTTTCTTTCCTTTTTTTTTATTTTTATTTTGTTTTTTTCTCTTGGCTTCCTCTCTAACTCTATATTGAGTAGTTTTTTTTGCCATGAAGGAAGTATTTCTCTCCCATTTGATTGGTTATTTCGTCAAAATTTGGACGAATTTTCACCAAAATTGATTGGCCTTTGGGCCAAAACAGCAGGCAATTGGGTTGTTTTGGAGAATTTTAAATTCAGAATTTAGGTCATGTAGAGGCCAATTCTTTATGGCTTTAGAACTAACACGAGCTCTGGATCTCTGCAAAATCAAAGAAACCTGAAAATTAGGTAACTTAAGTTTTAAACCAGTATAATTAATTCTCATATTCTTTATGATGGCCATCTTAATTACCTTATAACTTATATTATTGGCTTCTTGCAAATAATTTAGAATTCTATTGTGAGTGAAATCCTAATGCTATTTGCTTTGTCTTCAGGAGGCATTATGGAAGAACATGACGCATGGTGATTCGAGCGAACCGCAGCCGTCTCATAAGTTTGCTCCGAGATTTGACGGCCTGAGATTCATTGAGACTTTGGTGACTGCACATAGATGAAGCCGTCTGATAAGTTTGCTCCGAGATTTGACGGCCTGAGATTCATTGAGACTTTGACTGCACATAGATTTGACGGCCTGAGATCCATTATAATGTTTTGGGTACTTTTTCTGTTTCGTTATTGACAATGTTGTCATTACTGATATTTTATGTCCAAAATAGGATGATAATTCTTTGTAAATAGCATATCTATGGAAAAAGTTTATATAAGGTTGCAACCTTAAAATACAGTTGAAATGTAGAACTACATATGCATCTAAAAAATCCATCTGAAATATGTTATTTTAATGTTGAAAAACCCTCTGATTGAGCATATCAACATTGAGATGTATGATTGTGAAAGAAAAAAGGATTTTAAGTCCGAAAAATAGTGTATCTTACAACACATTATCTATATCTAGACCATCCATTTTTAAAATTTTCATATGTTTATGGATCTACATGGTTTTTAACCATTTTTGGAGTTTAAAAATTTATAATCTATGAAAATAGATTTTGAAATAATCTTAAGAATATTTTACATCAAATTATATGTTATGATCAAATTTGAAAGTGAGCCTTAATTAGATTGTTTAAGGTTGCAACCTTATGAAACCACACCCCATATCTATTGCGTTGCTTCACAGTTATTGATTGTAGACAATCATCTTGAAGTTCTCGCCAAGGGGATTTCTAGAAACTCAAATTCGAAGTCCCGATGACCACACCAATTCTAGTGAACCGTAGGTAACCTTGACCTAGTTTAGTTGTCTTAAAAATGTCCAAAACCTTGAGCACTTTCTAACGATCCAAAAATGACTTAAATTAGATGTTCCGTTGAAAAGGAAGAGCTTCGGAGATTTGCCAGGGCAAAATTTTTAAAATGCCTTTGGGTGCAACTCGCATCTGTGTCCCTCGGGGTAGCGAGGCCCGATGGGCTTGGGTCGGTGAATTTTTCGTCCAAGTCCTATTTCAATTAGAATTTTAAGTTAACTTCAATTAAAAAAATTCTAGAAAAATATAAAAATTGGCTAATTCCTAATCAAACTAGAATTAAGATATTAGATCAATTAATTTCAAGCTTAACCATAATCTGAACTTATAAATTCCCCCTCAAATTCCTTGAAAAAAGCATAGAAAAATAGTCCAAAAATATTTAGAAAAATCCTTAAAAATATTACGAAATTCCTATAAAATTCTAGAAATTAGGAAAAAAAACCTAGAAAATTACGAAAAACCTAGAAAATTACGAAAATCCTAAATAATTAGAAAAATCAGGAAATTCATCAAAATACCTAGAAACATAGGAAAAATCATAAAAGCCCTAGAAAATTGGAGAAAATCCCTAAAAAACCTTAGGCTAGAGAACTTAAGTCCAAATCCTCTCAAAATTTTCTCTAAGATCAAAATCTTAGGAACAAGTTCTCCTAGATCCAAAACAAAACCTTAAAGCAATGCTTTAAGAAAGCAAGAGAAGACATCAAAATGTGTAAAATAACCCACGGTCTTGATATAGGCCCCAACTTCGGTTTTTCAGGTACATGATCTTTCTCTCTACTTTATTTATTTTTATTTTTCTGGTTATTCCTTATTTTCTTAGATTTAGAATTTAAGCTTTTTAAGGTCTTAAAAATGGATTCTGGTGTTGGCACTGCCATTAGACTTAGAAGAGAACTAGATTTGTATCAAGCGTGTTGCTTCTAAGCCTATAATTTGAGCGACATCCCCTCTCTCTACTGATTTTAAAACTTAACTCGTTTCATAAGATATTTGAGTTGATCTCGCTTATAGATTGACCCAAATTCACACGTAAACAGTTTGGTACCCACCATGAGGCTCTTGATCTCTAGACCCATCTATTTGGATCGTAAAAAGCTTTCTATAAAATTACAGTAATATTTTCCAAGAAAAAACTAAAAACATGAAGGCCAATAAATATAAAAAACGCCACCGAAAAAGACCATGGAATCTGACCTAGTGGCTTTTGAATAGCACAACTCAAACCGAGTCACGCATAACCAGCACAACTCCACCCGAATACGGAACTGCCGAATTTTTTTTCAACAGTCCCGTTTTTTGCCTTGTTTCGGCTACTTGTGATTTCTGAATTTTTTGTTTCTAGTGATCTGAAATTTCAGAAATACTTTTTTATAAAAAAAAAAGGAGATGATAGGACCTAGAGTTAGATTAGGCTTTCTTTGGCTATGTGTTTAGGGTAGATGTGATAATTTTTTTTTTTTGGTCTTTTTTGCTTAGTTTAAAATTCTTGATCTTATCTTATAAAGATTAGATTTTTTTGAGATCCTTATCTTTTTATTCTATCTCTATCTTTTGCATTAGTATAATAGGTTGATTTCATGTCCTTGCTTGATCACACTACTTGCACACACGACTAGAGTGTCAATTTTACACACATTATCACACATGTTTAGACATACCCAACAATGTTTTCAAAATTTCTAAAACCCCTATACTGACAATTAAATCATGTGAGTACCTAGTTTTGTGCTCACGACATTTGGGAATGCACCAACAATGAAGCGAGCACCACTCTGAGGAAATCCTGACCGCAAAATAAACCCACAATAGTAAAGTCCAACCTCCGCAATTGAACTGTAGTTGTGCTTATGTGGGCACCCACCAACCTTAACCAAGTTTTTAGCTCTTTACCTTAATTAGGTAACCTTGACCAGACCCAGCCTACTAATAGTCCTAGGTCAAATTGTTTCCAAACCATTCTTGTTTTCCTTGCTTTAAGCTTGATTCGAGTCTAGGACTTAGCTAGGTTCGAGTCTAGGTCTAATCAGGTTCTAGTTTAGGTCTAGCCCAGTCTATCTTGGATCCATCTCGGTTCGAGTCTAGGTTACAACCAAGTCCAAATCTAGAAGCCAAGTCCAAGTCTAGGTCTTGCTAAGTTTGAGCTGATGGCTAGTTAGTAGAATAGATTAGGCTTTCTTTGGCTTATGTGTTTAGGGTAGATGTGATCTTTTTTTTTTTTTGGTCTTATTTGCTTAGTTTAAAATTCTTGATCTTATCTTATAAAGATTAGATTTCTTTGATATCCTTATCTTTTTATTGTATCTCTATCTTTTGCATTAGTAGAATAGGTTGATTGCATGTGCTTGCTAGATCACACTACTTGCACACATGACTAGAGTGTCAATTTTACACACATTATCACACATGTTCAGACATACCCAACAATGTTTTCAAAATTTCTAAACCCTATACCGACACTTAAATCGTGTGAGTACTTAGTTTTGTGCCCACGACATTTGGGAATGTACCAATAATGAAGTGAGCACCACTCTGAGGAGATTCTGACCACAAAACAAACCCACAATAAGTAAAGTCCAACCTCCACAATTGAATTGTTGCTGTGTGGGCACCCACCAACCTTAACCAAGTTTTTAGCTTTTTCCCTTAATTAAGTAATCTTGACCAGACCCAGCCTACCAATAGTCCTAGGTCAAATTGTTTCCTAACCATTTTTGTTTTCTTTGCTTTAAGCTAGATTCTAGTCTAGGACTCAGCTAGGTTCGAGTCTAGGTCTAATCAGGTTCTAGTTTAGGTCTAGCACAGTCTGTATTTGATCCATCTGGGTTCAAGTCTAGGATTACCTAGGTTCGAGTCTAGGTTACAACCAAGTCCAAATCTAGAAGCCAAGTCCAAGTCTGGGTCTTGTTAAGTTTGAGCTGATGGCTAGTTACGTTTGAGTCCATCTTGGTTGAGGTCTAAGCTTAGTTAGGTCTAAGTCTTGGTTTAGGTCTCTAGCTCTATGTATGAATCTAGGTTGAAGCCTATCTGGGCCTACACCTAAGTCCACATTTAAGGCTCAACCCGGTCTAAATTTCAAGTCTAGGGCTACTCTAGGTCAATGGCCAAGTTCTAGACCCAGGTCGGTGACCTCAGCTATAGGTCTAGGTTCAATGTAAGTCTAAGTTTAGTCTAAGTTAGGTCCAACCTTTTAGTCTGGCAATCATGGCTCAAGACCAGACCAAGATGCGGTCTAACCCTTTAGTTCAGCCTAAGCCTAGGGTGCCAAGTCAATCTTTTAGACATCGCTATGGTGTACCCTCAAACCATAAGACCCATGAGGATAAGTTCAGTCAGAACCCACATGGAAGTATAACTAGTCACCTAGGTCTCCAAGCCACCAATCGTCATGCCCATGATTCATGAACCAGGGGCCACCAAGTTAGTAAAGTCCATAGCAACCCGAATGATGAACTAATTAAATAGGCTAACATGTGAGATCAAGAATAAGTCGATTTGACTAAGGCAAGTCAAACATCCAAAACCCTGAAACCCTTAGGTCAGTCGACCTGAACTGGGTTAACTATGATGCTTAGTCTCCCTCTCACTCTCCTAACTCTGATAGCGAGTTGGTAGGGATCAACCCATACAGGGTTCATATAAGGCTAGCCACCAAAATAAAGCAGAGAGTCAAGCATCATCCCCCAAGCCCAAGAGCTTGTCAAGCCTGGCCTCCACCTACCAAAACACTATTAGTGGCTTAGACCTTGATCCCACTATTCCAAGGGCTAAGCCATAGTCAGCTTAGGCAACTCCCTGCGGTCCAAGCCTTCCTAAGAACTATAGGTCTAGGGGATGCATTTGGGAAACTACGTCAGGTCCCAACCAAGGGTATAGTCATCAAGGTCTTCTTGAATCTCGTGGTCAACGTAGTCAGGTGAGTCAGCCTAGAAGAGTCTGCAACCCACAAGTCAATCGACCCTTACCGGCAGGGGAACCAGCTCAGTTCTAAGCCCAGTTGGTTCTTGGCCAAACTTACCCATGTCAGGTTCAGTCGGTCCAACTGGCCCAAGCTCATTGTCCATTAGCTCAGCTAGTTAAGGCTACACAATTAGTTCAATCCTACCATATGAAGACTCAACCAACCCAAGTCGTACCACGTGCAAACAGATTACCCACCGGTCCACTCCCTTTTGACTGTGCCACAAGTCTAGGTGCAACCAACCCATGCTGTACCACAAACCCAGAGATGTCATGTCCATTATCCTGTTGAGTCCTACCTATTCTAGTCAGTTTTGGTCGTATCACCAACTCAAGCTAGTCCATCAATGTCAGGCAAACAACCAGTTGAGGCAGTCCCAACTACCCAATTAATTGAGTTAGCAGGTTTAAAAAGTGAACTAAAAACCTTTAAGCATACCTTGGCGAAGATGGGGGCTCCGGATATTCTCTCATCAAAAGCTTACGTCAAGCACATTCTCAGAGATTTCAAGCC